GGCACTCACAACTTACTTTTGTAAGCTATCATATTATGGCCAAGTCAGGCCGGTGTCAGACTGCCTATACAAAAGACAAAAGCCAGTCTGCAGACATCGATCGAACGCGACTCACTGACGCATCCGTGTTCCATAAGCCGCGTGCCAGGCTGCTCCTTTCATTGGTTGCCGTGCGACATACAAAGCAGAGATGGTGCGGTGCCTCGAATTACTATTTGTCTGCAAACTGTATTCGTAGGATGCGTAATGCGTGACCCCGTCTTTCGAAGGTGGCGCAGTAGTAGCATTGGGGCCCTCAACATCCTCCGGTCTGCAACTCTCCCTTCCCAAGTTCGTCCTTATGATCATAAATTAATGGCTCTCTATTGTGTAAACTTTCTGAGAAACCTTTTTTGACAGTGCAGCTTTCAACATGATTCATTTTGATATTTCGGCTGCGCATATAATCCACGCCGTGATATAAACCCATGGAACCGCAGAATTTGCCTCATTATTGGCGATCCTGTCTAGTTAGGAGCAGCTGAAAAGGACGAGCTTGCTGCAGTGATTTGTACACCCGACTCCCATAATTATCTCCAGGTTGGGTGTGACACCCCCCCCCCCCCCCCCAGGGTGTCTTAAGCAATGTATATAAATCTAAGGCCAGCCCCTTCCAACACCCCTATTTATCTCCAGGTTGGGGGCGACACCCCCCAAAATTTCTTGACCAATGCATCTAGACCTAAGGCCACCCCCTCCCAACAGCCCCCCCCCCCCCCCCCCCCGAATAGTTACAACACCCCCTGATTTAGAATTCTAGATGATTCCGTGGTTTGGTAGTGTGTGGAAAGAGTACACCGGGGCAGGGGGGGGGGGGGGGGACTTGAATTTATCACTTTCCCAAGACCACCACTGTGAGTCTTGGTGTTCTTAATGATCTACATCTTTAAAGGCGGTATTTAGTGGACGCCGTATTGGCGCGCATTGATCGCAGCTAGAGCTCAAAAAGAACTGCTACGCACTGCTGGCGAAGATAAACAATCTTGACGGTGTGAAATATACATTGCAGAAGCGTTGTGCAAATTCACTAACAGCACGTGCTCTCAACAGCAACCGGCGCAAGATATGGCCCCCATTTAATACTACACGACCGGAATACCACCTCTATTTGAAGCATTTTTTTTCATTACGAGACGCCAGGGACTCTTTCACACCATGCATGCGACATTAAGGATACGGTTGGTTTTGGACGAGGCGCGTTTTTATTGGCTGTCTTTCCGTACCGTCGTAGCGGCGCTGGTGACGTCACGAAAGATGTTTGACAATTGACGCAGCTCCGATTATTTCATAATCGCATTGATCCTGCCTGTTTGCCGCAACAGCGCCGTCGCAACTGCGAAATCGCAACTAAAATCGCTCCATGTGAAACCGTCCTCTTTTCCACAAGTTACCAAAAACGAAATCATTTTTCTTTGCTTACCTTCATGTGTTTTGGGCGAAGCACCTTCCATATATGCGGACATCTCTCATGCACAATGGATGCCACTGTTGACACTCCAACCTTGAATTGCGGTGCAAGGTCCTGCATTGACGTTGCCGATGACAGGTACCTGAATAAAAGCAAAACATTGCTGTGTATATTAATGTCTGGAAGCCGAGAAACTAGTAATGAGTTCGCCATATAAACCAGTTTAATTGCACCTCGTATCCACTCAAAACAGTGCAGTTTAAAGAGAATACCATTTTACCTCAAAGAGGTAGCAAGCCGCACCCGCGACGAAATGGGCTCTCTGACGGCATATTGCTTCGTAAGCTTTGTTTCCAGGCAAGCGTAGAGTCTTTCAAAGGTGTTCGGCATTATCCGATAATATCTTCGAAACTGCTCCGGGTCCCTGTGCAGCATAAAGAGGGTCTGCAGAAAAAAAGTATTCCAGAAACTTGCTCGCAGAAAAGCACAAGTCGACTTACCAATGAGTAAAACTCCGATTCTTTGGCTCTGTTTTGCCAGCACGGCCTCACCTACCATCACCGCGGGCTTCCGTCTAGGAGCAGCAGTTCTTTTTCCGCAGAATTAGGTATTCCTTTTTACAGAGCAGTCTGAACTCGTCATCTAGAGTAGCGGCCATCATGCTCTATGAAAGTCAAGACGCGCTGCTACTTGCCCTCTTTCATTGTGGAACATCGTCCACGTGACGAAGCCACCGGGACAACTGTTCGCCTTGCGCGACATGCCAAGCAACGCAACAACCAGCTTGCTCAAGCAGCTATGAACTGTGGCTCTACCGGTGTCCTTGTCGCATTCGTCGTACTCGTTGTTTTTGTCGTTTTCATTGATGCGAATGCAGTCGATGCAAACGTCTGAATGGGCCCTAAATATAAGTATACCGCGTACTTTTTACCAGAAGCTCATAAATAAATCGGAAAATTTTATAATTTTGTTAAATATCGAAATGAGTATCCTCAAACGAATTCAAGGGTTCCAACCATGTGCTTCGCAAGTGCGGAAAATCGCATATGTTCTCAATCAATGTGAAAGGAAACGCGAAATTTCGCATGTGCGGTTCATCGCTTCACCGATTTCGCTGAAGAAAATCGCACCATGTGAACCAGGCTTAAGAGCTGCGCTCTAAAACGAAACTGTTCCGTGAGGACCTGAAAGCATTTGCTTGGAGCGGCGGAATGTGAATGATCAGTTGCAAACGACAAGGTCGATGGTTGATGCAAAAATTGGCAGTTATCTTTATTTCCGAAGTCCTATAATGCATCAGATGAATGATAGCGAATAGACCGATCTTACTAGGCGTTCGGCGCATGCGTGTCGCCGCCATAACTTTAGTTCACAAGAGGAAGACGGCCGTGCATGCGGAGGCTTGTGCCGTCTCGTGCTCCACACGCGCAGAGCTCCAGCGGGGTTGTCGCACGTGCAGGAAGACTAAAGTTCCCTCTATGCATTGCGGCAGCGGTGGCGTAGTCAAACTGGCTGGTGAGATCGGTCTATTGGTGGGGGAACTGATGGGTCACGAGACGCATATTTTCGCGCTAAATTTAGCGGGGAAACTGAATGGTTATATAGGTCCCGTGACGTTAGGTCACATGACGTCAATTGCCTCGCTAAATTTAGGGGTGAAACTGGATTGGTGTCTGTCACAAGACGTGATTTATCCCGCTAAATTTAGAGGGTAACTGAATTGCTGTACAGCTCACGTGACGTCAATTTCCCGCTGAATCGAGCTAGGAAACTAAATGGATGACCTGGCCACAAGACGTGAAGTTTCCCTCTAGATTTAGCAGGGAAACTGAATTCATGTATAGGTCTGGTGACGCTAATTTTCCACCAAATTGAGTGGGCAACTGAATTGGTGTATATGACCCGTGACGGCAGGTCACGTGACATCAATTTTCCCGCTAAATATAGCAGGAAATGCACGGACAAACAGATGGACAAAATTTGGGGAATGGGGTAGAGTTAAAAAAGCATTTCATATTTGAAACCAAAGCCTCCTCTACACTATAAAAGAAGCTATGGTTTAAATGCACATTCAAATGAACTATCACGTCCTGCAACCAACACCGTCAAGGTTGACGGTCTAACATTACTCTGATTTCTATCGATGAAAGCAGAATTTGTCCTACTCAAGACGTCACAGACAGCGTTTAGCCGATCGTGGAAGGGCGCCCACAACAACGCTTTTGGTCCCGCAAGTCGTCAATAAGAGACATAGGAGGAACACATTATCCGTTGATAGTCCGTTCGTACTCCCCTTTATGTGTAAAAGTATATGTCTGCGTTTGTAGACGGTGGCGTTCTCTGTTAGATTGACGTATAATGGAGTTGGATCCCAAGTTCTGGGAAAGAATACAGCAATGGCACACCGAGCTCGCCTCGCCTTGTTGCTTCGCTCCTGGAGCTGGTAGCGACGGGTAGGATAATGGACTCGTTGGAGTGCTCGAGAGCAATTTGTTTTGTTTTTGTATCCTATTCCCGTCTCACACAAAGATTACGTAAAGGTTTTCGTTTTTTTCTTCTTTATTTTGCTTGTGGGCAGCAAGGTGTTTGCCGAGTCAAGATTTCTTAGCTTTTTTTTTTTTTCTTTTTGCTACGAAGCAGTTGTTGTTGCATTGAGGAGTGTAGTACTCTTAAAACTTTGAATTGTATTTCTTTATTTTGGGCAGTCCCCGCCGTTGGCCATTCAAGGAAAAAATTTGATGCAACGTTGAAGTGCAATACATACCACCGTGTATGCATTTATGCTGAACTAATGTGATCTTAATATTTAAAAAATGTATAACTCAAACACAGAAGGCATGCGACGAGCACGTAGAGATTAAGCAACGAGAAACAAAGTAATACAAAAAAAAACACAGTATCAAAGTCACAGTAACATATTTTAGCTTACAATGTTTATTATATTTCTTTTTGCAGTATTTATATTTTGCTTTATTTGGGTAACTCTCGTAGGATCACTTTTATACTTGGATGCACCCTTTGCTTTGCCCTAGTTTTGTCAAAAAGCACAAAAGACAGTTTGTCAACTAAGTGTTCATATCAAAATAAATGAAGTAGGGGGCTAGAAAAAGAAGAAAAAAATACTCCCGCTTTCATGCCAATGTAAGGTCTCGTGAACAAGGGGGAAAAATGCAGAAGATTTTGCCGGTTTTTAGATGGCATTTCCCACCGTTATATTTCAGATTCGTATTCATGATCAAAAGTGATCTTCGTAGTACGTTCTGAGGTTTGCTGTGTTTTGTAATACTTTATAGTCAGTGACAGGCTAAGATCCCAGTAAATGATACGTCTTGACCGCAAGATTTGTTTTTGAACTCACTTTGGCCCACAGATATCCTGAACCTGGTGGAAGTCAACGAACGTATGCTGGAGGAGAAACACCTACTGGGAATTCTTAACCTGCCATCGACCATTGTTCTGCCAATGTTTGCATTTGATATCAGTCGAAATCGAGGTATCGAAATATAAAGCTCGGCGTGTAGATATCTGACGATAGAGTCATACATCAGACTGTTCAATGAGGCAGGTCGCCGTTTACCATGTCCTCACTGGGCGTACTGAAGATGCGCAGCTGCGGCACGCGCGTCAGGTGCTGCAGTAGGTAGACGGCGGCGCGGTGGGAGCACCCCGCGTGCAGGAGTTGCAGCGTCATCTGTTGCAATCGAGGACAGTGGGTCAGGCAGAGATCTGCCAGCTCACGGGCATCGGTGGCCGTCAGCTGGGACAGCGTCAGCCTGAGTCGCGTCAGCTGCGTACACATGGGCAGCAGCACTGAGGCGTCTACGAGGGTGTCCACGTCCAGGTCCTCAAGCAGGGGCATCGTGCTGTTAGGCCTAGGAGACTCGATGTCCGCTCTGCGTCGGTTGAAGAAGCACCGGGCCACGAGAGACTTGAGGGCGGGACAGGCGTCTGCTAGGGCCTGTGATCGCAGGTGGGCCTGCACTGGCAGCTCCAGGTGGCGCAAGTTGTGAGCCACGTCGCCCAGGGCCTCCAGGAAGGATTCGTTGAGGAAGGATCGGGCCCCCGGTCCTCCGAAGCGAAGAGACAGGCTCTCCAGGTGGCGAAGACGTCTTAGGGGTGACAGGTCACGCTCGGTCGATACGCGAATGGTAACCTGCCAAAGATGGACATTGCGTTATTATGTCGATGTTTGCAGATATCCGCCACGTGTTCAACCCCGAATTGAAACATTGGGGGTGCTTTTTTTTTTCCCCTTCTCTCCAGAGAAGGCGGCCGTTTTCTAATTCCAGCGAAATGAGTCACTCACAAAGCACCACTCTGCAGCTAATAGCTCATGAGCCTGAAAGATCAAAATTGCATTGAGTATAACACTTTTTATGCGTATTTGGCATATTAATCCGTAAAATGTCCCAGTTGGCATTACCCGGGCCCATCTTGTTTTTTGAGACTCATTTTTAGTATATACTGTCGAAAGTCGCCAAACATACGAAAACGATAAAAAATTTTTATAAGTTTTAATCGGTTTTTAGTGGAACTCAAAAGGAATTGCTCATATGGTGGAACTCAAAATACTTGCCCAGAGAGATTTGAAGCAATACTGTTTAGATGTACAAGTTCCGCTAAATGTTTTTGATGTTTAGAATCCACTTGATTGCAATTGCGTAAACCAGAAAATTACCCAACTCTGCAGCAACTCGTTTTATAGTTGAGGAAAGGGCCCTTATTGTCTGCTATGTGGAACCATGTGTTAGTAAGTATTGGATCCCTCAAACACTCTCAAACTGCCTGTGACAACTTATCGTCTGGAGGCCCCTTACACCGAGCATGATACAAAAAAAAAAAAAAAAAAAACTTGAATTTAGTCAGGTAGTGAAGAACATACTTAAATGAACTAATCCCTATCATATACTACTTTCAAGCAGTTCAGTTCATGTTATATCATATGAAGCTGCGACCTACAAGGTGTAGACGTACTCTTGCACGTAGTTAAAGCCGTCAACATTAAAGCAACAAATTATTATGTTCTTTTTTTTTTTTGCTGGCATTATATGTTTCATGAATAACCGGTGCTGTCAGCTCACCTCGCGAATGTTTGGGCAAAACCTGGCGAGCAACTCCACGGGCGAAATTCCCGCGGCCTGCGCCGGTTGGTCGAGCAGCACATTGACGACCTCCAGGCGACCCAGCATGGACTGCGCGTCGACGCCGACTTCGGCGAGCGCGTGGGCTACGTTGCAGCGCAGCTCTCGCAGCGCAGGCATCTGGAGCAGGAGCATCTGCAGCTCCCGGCCCGTCAGGGCGCTCCTGGGCATGCCCGAGACCGTGAGTCGGGTCAGGGTGAGGCGCCTCAGACAAGGGTAGGGGCCCGAGGTCGCCAGGCGTTCCACGTCGAGTTCAAAGTCCGTTTGAAGACGCTGGAGATCCCTGGACTGCCCCACCAGTTCGACGAGGGAGACCACGTCCCGCTGGCGCTCCTCGTGGCAGCCGCCTCGGACGCGTTCGTCCCAACCGGGTCCGGGCCCCAGGTCCTGGCACTTGCAGCGAATCTGCTCCAAGAAAAAATAAAACGAATTCCCTCATTTAGACATTTTCTTAAATTCAATGAACGTGCAATGGCGGGTTTTTTTTTAGTGAGCAGTATTTTAAAATGCCACCGTGTGTACTAGATTCTTTCACTGATACACAGTTCCCACCTCCGTTTCGCTACCAGGTGGTTTGCGGGGCAAGAGTTCGACAGGTGGTGAACTCTGCTACCTTTTATCCTTGTACCACTCAGGCTCCAGTGGGTCATAAGATTTGAGTTAGCTTCCATTAGATTGCTCTTTCTTGTCTTGTGAACACGCCAATCTTGGTGGTCTAAAATACTCGTCGCAGATGCGTTGCTCTTGTTTGCCGTCTGCACGGATCCAGCAGCGACAAACTCCGTTATGCGGGACAGCGAATACGCGGCTACCGCGTGACGTCATTGCAACTTGCTGGTGATCGTCTGCACTCGTTCTTGCCGAAGAAAAAAAATGCAGTGATGCCAAATGCAGGGATGCCAAATGTAGGCTACAGAACTTACGTGCTCAGCAGCGAGACAACTACAATGGGAGATGATGTATGCAAGCCGTGCTAATTACGCGGTAAGAAGTACAGCCACTTTTCGTATAAGCTAAGCTTAGAGTATCGTCACACCATCCCCCGATCCTCCTGTGAGCGCAGCCATTTTGGTATTTAGAGCAGTGCGGGTGAAATTGGCGATCTTTTCGATTCGAAAATGCGACGTCTTGAGCTAAAGAAATGCTGTCCGGAAGCTCGGGCGGTGTCGTTCTGATTAGTGAAGAAAGGTAAAAAACGCAGGTGAGCTGCGAAATGACAATCAAAATAAGCATAAAACGTAAAAGGAAGAAAAAAAAAACGGACGGGACAACGAAATCTTTAACACAGCTTGAAGTTTATTGAACACCCATCGCCTTATATACATGTCCCAGACCTCCGTCACAATTAAAAACGACCTGCTCGCTCACTACACAGTGTACCCTAACTTTCAACCTATACGGGCAACTGCACACAACCCCGAATTGCAAAAGTAAACACGCCCGAAGAATAAAAAACACATACTCAAACACCACATACACAAAAAAAAAAAACACACACACACACACACACACACACAATTCTCGCAATCTTCTTCTGTCTGCGTTTTATTTTTGTACTTTACAAAAGCGCTGTGGAAGCTTGCCCTCAGCAGTCAGCTAAGGCCGCCAGTGAGCACCACTTATACGCGGTCGGTAGCGAGAGCACAACAGCAGCTGAAGTGACGTCAATACAGGTCACGTTATCTACACGGTGACGAGCATGCTCGCCTTCCAAACCGTCAGCTGGGTGAGTATCTCGGGATCCATTGCAGCCAGGATGGCCCTCATGTCCGGGTGAGTCACGAGGATCCTCTCGAGCTTCAGGTGCCTCAGCCGTCCCAGCTGACATAAGGGGGCGACGTCTGGCCACGTCAGGGAGCGAAGAGGGGACCTGCTGGCCAACTCGTCGAGCAGCTGCTGCAGTTCGGGGGACGGAAGGCGGTGCAAGCCGCCGGTCACCGTCCCGGATCCCAGACGAAGGAGCATCGCAGCGCGTTCCGCGCAGAGGATCGAAAGCTTGTCGACGTGCCTACGTAGAGCAGAGTAGGGATATAGAGTAGCGACCCTCCAGTCACCCTGGTGTGGAAAATTATTTTAAACCTATATCCGAAGCTCTATCTGAAATTTTAGGTAACGGTGTGCCGTCCTCCATCGGCAAACGGCTTTCCCTCCTCCGTATAAAGCGTCAAAAAACAGTCCGCGACAGAGCATGGCGACGTCGTACGAGTTTGGCGGCACTGCATCGATAAAGCTGAGGAAGTCAGGTTTTAGTATCGCAATGATCGCCATCACACCTTTTTTGAAGTCATGGTTTCAGAGGTTCTGATATCAAAACAGAGGCTCGCGTTCCATAGACTCACGAGTGACCATGACAGGCTTTAAAGCGAGGGGCTCGTGGTGTGCACGTGCGTTCTCTTCCCAAACACCCCAAACCGGTGATTTCCAAAAAAGGTGGCTTACGCCAGCTCTGCACTACCACCGAAATCATGGCGTCCAGAAGAAAATTTGGCATTCGAGTACGGATATACTGTGCATAGCGTATTTAGTGGCTCCAGAGCAGAGGTATATTACAAGCAAGACGGGAAGAGAAACGTGTTGACGTTCTCGGTTTCCCTGCGTCGTTTGCAATAAAAAAAAAAAAAAAAAAAACGAAAATACGTAGCTATAGGCGACTGACCTGTGCTTGTGAATGTAGCAGAAGCGGCCGTCTAGAACCTCGACAGCGTACATGATGACCTCGTTTTTGGAGGATCGCTGGCAGAGCGTACTTACGCACCACAGCTATGGTGAAAGTGTGACGATCGCGCGGGTCAAAGTGGCTCCCCGATTCGAGCCTACAGAACAGACACTGGTGCGGCTTAGGGTGCCTCAATGACCTTCTGTTTAGAGTGATGCCACCCTTTGTAGTACCCGATGCCGACAGCACGCGCTCACGGGGAAAATACAAAGAAACTGACGAAAACAAAATGTCGCCATAGCACAGTCAGCGCCACAAACACGTGCAAGGACACGCTCTTTCACGCGCTTCTGAACAAAAAATAAATGTAAAAGTGGGAACAAAATGGCCAGATGTCTCCACCCTAAGCAAAGCGCGCATGAAGGCACCCTAGTGCAGCTTAGGGTGCCTCAATGTCCTCCTGTTTAGGGTGATGACACCCTTTGTAGTACCCGATGCCGACAACACGCGCTCATGGGGAAAATACAAAGAAATCGACGAAAACAAAATGTACCATAGCACAGTCAGCGCGACAAACGCGTGCAAAGACACGCTCTTTCACGCGCTTTTAAACAAAAAAGAGAAGGGAACGTGTAAGAAAAATGGCTCGATGTCTCCACCCAAGCAAAGCGCACATGAAGGGACAATAGTGCAGCTCTGTAGGCTTGAGCTGTATGCAGGAATCAGCGCCACCTTGCATGCTGGGCCTAGAAGAAAAGATGCTTACAAAAATGTCCGCAATATATAGTCTGCATACATATTTTTTATTTTTAAATGGGAACACTATCACTTATACACCGTTTTATATTTCTAACCTGCTTTGTTTCCTGTAGAACCCAACTTCCGAATAAAATTTACCTGTTTTTGTCGCTGTGGCGCTGCAGCCAGCTTACGGATAAAAGTGGTGTCACTCATTGTTGTAGAAATGCTCGAGGCACGTGCCGCGCGCCACTTCTGGGAAATTCATTGCGTCTCAAATCTAGCTCAGTGCTGCGCTGTGCCGCCATGATCTTTACAAGGGCTGCACGTTGCACGTGCCCCGTGCATCGACGCACACTGCGCTACTTTTGAAACATGAAGGGGTTTTACTTACGGAAACTTACGGTTGGTACTAGAGCCACTAAATTAGCTGCGCTTCTTCAGTGGCTTATTTAAGCTTACCTTATTTAGTGGCACTAGTTAGTACGATGGTGATAGCGATACATGAGGCATAAAGCGAGGAACCACATACCGCCGCTGGGAGAAGCACTTCCCCTTCTAGCCCACCATAACACCGGCGTTGTTTTTAGCGAAATGGTACGTGCTTTTCTGAGGGATAAAAGCGTTGAACTTTTGCCTTATGATCTGTGGATTTGGAAACATTCAAATGGGCTTTTGCACCCGGCGTCATTAGCCCATATAGCGAAGGAACAGGGCAGATAAACACCGTAGAAAGTAAATACTGTAAAGTGTTTATGAAGTAAAACCCTTAGACAACAAGATCGTACAAAAAACAACGTGTGCGCTTAAAAAAAAAAAGATGGAAAGAAGAAAATAATCGTAAACTCTCCCCCAAGCCCCTGCAAACCACCTCCCGCCACTCCCTCTGTTCCTATCTAGTGTACATCGCCAATTGTAACCTTGTACCAATAAACGTGTACCGAACCTGTTGACAAGTTCACATCTTGTACACAAAAGAGAGCCGCTTCACCGAGGGGGAGCACGAGTTATCACGCGCAAGCAGCTTGGGACAGTTGGCCGATGAGCAGCGTACACGCGGGAAGCAATGTGACCATGTCGAGGCAAGCTCGTGGACCTCAGTCTGCTTGGTTGTAAGAACGCGACGTTAATGGACAGTTCATAACATGGTGTCAGAAACGGAACACGAAAACGCTCGCAAGTGAAGTCAAGACCGATGTGAAGTCGCACGACGCAACAGTAAAAGAACACGAGGACATCCTCCATGGCTTGGTAAAATCAAAAATGTCAAGTATCACATGAAGTTCAAGCCGGATGCGCAGGCTGTTACTCAACAGCCACGTACAGTCCCAGTAGCCATCCGAGACCAGCAGAAAAGTCACCTAGGTGACGTCGTGCAACAGAAGCTGATTGCACAAGTGACAGAACCAACAGAGTCGGTCCACCCAATCGTGGTTGTGAAAAAGAAGGACAAACTACGACTGTGCATCGATCCTCAAGAGCTCAACAAGGCTTTCATGCGAAAACCTACTGCATGCCTACACTGGAGGACATTGCAGCATGACTGGAAGGAGCCAAGTTCTTCTCGACACTCGACGCAGCCACGGTGTTTTGGCAGATCAAGCTAGACACTTTGACTTTGTACCTCTGCACATTTGCAACACCGTTCGGGAGACACAGATTTCTTCGAATGCCTTTCGGCATATTGTCAGCTCCCGAGGTGTTCCAGAAGACTACGCATGTGGTGTTTGAAGGTCTCGACGGAGTTGAAATCATGGTCGACGACATTCTTATTTGGGGAAGGACGGAAGACGGACATGACCGTCGAATGCAAGCCGTGCTGCAGAGTTGTCGTGCGGTCAACCTCAGACTGAACAAAGAAGAATGCAGGTTCTCTCATAGACAGATTAAGTACTTGGGACATATCTTGTCACCCGGGGGACTCTCAATTGACCCTACGAGAGTACAAGACATCCTATTTCTCCCAAGTCCATCAAATATGGGGGAACTGAAGAGCTTCCTAGGAGTCGTGAACTTCATTGACAAGTTTATGTCACACATGTCCGACACAAGTACATCGTTAAGGCAACTTTTGAAGAAAAAGGCGGCCTGGTCCTGGACAGAAGAGCAAGATAAAAGCGTCACAGCACTTCGAAAAACGTTCGCTGTCGCACCGACTTTGCGGATCCACGACAAGAACAAACCAGTAACTCTATCAGTGGATGCAAATTTCAAAGGAACGGGTGCAATGTTGCTTCAGGAGGGCCACCCAGTAGCCTACTCATAAAGGTTGTTAAATGGCGCCCAAAAAACTATGCCCAGATTTAGAAGGAGCTGATGGCGATTGTCAAAGGATGCAGTCGATTTCACGACTACATTTTCGGGCAAACCGTTACCATGGAGTCGGACCACAAGCCACTTGAGGCAATCTTCAGAAAACCTCTGAATCAATGTTCTCTTAGATTAGAGAAAATGAGACTGACCCCGAAAAAATATGACCTGCTGGTGAAGTACGCTCCTGGTAAAGAGCTGTGCATTGCAGACACACTGTCAGGAAACCCTTCGAAGGAGGAAGAGCCAGAAGTCTTCGAGGTAAATGTATCAGAGTGTCTTCCTATCAGAGATGGAACACTGGAAGAATGTCGTCAAGCAATAGGCAGGGACACGGATCTGATTACCATGCTGCAGTATGCAAAGAGCCAGTGGCCGAGCAACAAAGGAGACATACCAGGTGCGTTAAAGCCATATTGGCCGTACAGGGATGAAATCCATGAGGAGGGGGCTTACTCTTCAGGTCGAATAGACTCGTCATTCCAGAAGAGATGAAGAGCACGATTTTGTCAAGGCTACACAAGGCTAACAGCAGTGTAGAGAAGACACTCATCGTACTAAAGGAGCTCTCTACTGGCCTGCAAAGCAGAATGACATCAAGTAGGTGGTAGAAAATTGCAGTGTGTGCAAGGAACACAAGCCGAGGCAACAGAAGGAGCCACTTGTGAACCATCCAGTGCCAACTTCACCCTGCAGATTGTTGAAGTGGACTTGTTTCAGGACACCACTACATTGTGTTGGTGGACTATTACTCTTTTTTTTTTGCAGTGCACCAGCTTCAAAGGCCCACTGCCAGCACGATAATCAAATGCTGCCTTGCAACGTTTGCTGTGCATGGTCTACCTGCCAGGTAGACCATGCCATTTTTGATACTATAAGGAGTTAAATATGGCCATATACCGCCATATATGAGAGCAAATACGGCCCCATATCGCCTTATAAGTGGGCAAATACTGCCATATACGCGTGCAAATACGGTCATATATCGCGGTATAAAAGTTCAAATACTGCCACATATAGCCCGTTTATGACATATATGGGTAAAAATATACCCCCTGTTAATAACATTAGGGCCCGTTTCGGCCATGCAAGCAATAGGTTATATGTACTCGCGAAGACACTATACTTCGTTTCACCTTATGTTGTACCGCAGCAAAGGCTAGAAGCGCGAGCTCATAGCGTTGGCAGCTGCCCTTGGTGCACAAGAGCTTGTGCCGCCGAGATGTGCCCTAGAGCAAGGTGCTCGCGCTTGTAGCCTTCTCTGCGGTACGTCATAAGGTGAAACTGAGTATAGTTGATTTATTTGTATTGCATGTCTCATGTAATTGGTTAACTATTGTTAACATCCTTAAAGTGAAGTTTTTCCAGATATTTGGCCTAATTAATCAATTTCTCATTTTGAAGATTGAAAAACAAATGAAATTTGGTTGTATGTTTGACGTGTAACAATATGACGAAGTGCATAAGATTTGTAGGGGACAATAAGCGGTACGGCACGTGGAGGGACGGCGCCGTGAGGGAAGAAGAAGAAAAAGGAGGCTCGTGGCGGGTGAAGTGCGGTGTGCGATGAGCCAGTTCGAAGGCAAAGACCAACAGAAGAGCCGGTGCCGGGCAGCCACTCCAACGGAAGACCCGGACCACACGGCAGCCTTAGCCCTCCTCAGCCTTGAGTATCGATAAAACCTTTCTTGATGATAGCGCTCCCCGTGTGACTTCCTCGGAGCGAGTGGAACTCGGCCTGGTCGGGCGGTATTGACAGGCGACCCACAGATCGGAAAGCGAGTTAATCAAATAATGGATTTTCGATCGCAGCTCTTAGGCGCCGTTTTCGCTTAAAACGGTGTCGGCGTCGCCGTCGGCATGGGTGTAACCGCCCCGCTAAATTTAGCGGGAAATTGAATTGGTGCTTATGTCACATGACGTCAATTTTCCCGCTAAATCTAGCAGTGAAACTAGTTTTGTTCATGTTTCCCCGCTAAATATAACGGGGAAACACGAACTGTTA